TGGAACGCACCAGCCCGCGCGGACAGACACGGAAGAACCAGCCACACGGGGGTCAGGGTTGTCACATTTTCCACGTGTTGAAGGGAAGGGGGTAGGGAAGGAAGGTCCCGTACAGCAGCCTGGGTCCCCCCAGCTTCCCCCGTCATTCCCTCCAGCCGTGCACACGCAAGCCAGGAGGTGCCCCCAGCCCCTGGCCGGGCTCTGCCCCCCACAGCCCCGCATGGCAGAAGGGCGGCAGCCCTTGGCCTCCAGGACTGCCATTCCAGGGGGTCCAGCTTCGGGAATGCCGTGCCAGGGGGTCCAGCTTCGACAAGGGCAGAGGCGTGAAGTACCCACAGCTCCTTTCCCTGGGCGGCCATCGCGGCTGCAGGAGCACGATGAGCCATCCCCCAGGGCTGGGGATAGGAGGGAATGCCGGGGTGGATTTTCCGTGAGCGACGTCAAGGAGAAGCACTCGGGAACAGTCCTGACATGCCCAAGCGCAGGGGGCTGCTGGCGCTCACCTCACAAGTTGGAGTCATAGGCGGCGTTGGTGAAGAGACCTGGCGATCCCAAGTCACTGGATAAACAACAGAGGAGGAAGGGGGGATAAGAAGCGATGGGCAAGCTCAGGGGCAGCAGAGGAAGGAGCAAAACTCCCATAGAGGCCCTGCCCCAGGGCTGTGTGTCCTGTCCCCCCCAGGGCTGCGCGTCCTGTCCCCGCGCAGGGCTGTGGAGCACGGGGCAGAGCAGCGCTCCGGCGCAGCGTGGCTCTCACCTGGTGGGGGCCAGGAGCTTCTTCTTCTCATCTGAGGGTGGTGTTGAAATGCCCACGGGTGGCACAGACACAAAAGAAAAACAGTTTTTGTTAGCAGACGGCATGAAAAGGAGATGGTGTCTGACAGATGGAGCTGAGTTTGACAAGCGTGGGACTTGGGCAGGTGTTGGCCACAGGCCACCCCTCAGTTAAGATATTCTGGCTTTAGCCCCCAAGCCTGGCCGGCTGCTGCCCTCAGGGCTGGGCGAGCTGCGAGGGAGGCGCTTCTGGACAACGCAGAGCAGGGTGACGTGCAGGATGAGCGGCCTTGGAGCCCCCCTGCCTGGCCCTGGCACCCTGCAGCCCCTGCGCGTGCCAGTCCCCAGCGCGGCCCACGCGGCGCCGCGGTACCTCTGTCACTGAGCCGCTTGACGAGCAGGGCGATGAGCGTGCCGGAGAGCACCATGCCCACGGCCACGAGCGCCGTGCCGCCGCTGTAAACCAGCGCTTGCTTCAGGAAGGAGGCAGCATCCTCTGGAACATGCACAAACCCGCCCGTCAGGAAAAAAAAAAAAAAAGTCCTAAAAAAGCCTTTGAGGAGCCCAAGCTGCCCGCCGCCGCGGACGTGTGCCCAGCGCCCATTTCCAGGGTGGGCAGAGGGCCGGTACCTGCGCAGACCGGGGGCCGCCGGCTCCAGTTGCCGGTGGCGGCGCAGCGGAGCGCCTCGGCGCCCCTCCGCAGGAAGCCGGCCTCGCAGGAGAAGGCGCACGTGGAGTTGTACGTGAAGTTGCCGTGGAAGTGGGAGCAGCTCATGCGGCCGCTGCGGGGAGCGTCCAGCACCGGGCAGCTGATGGCTGGCGGACAGAGCACAGCGATGGGATGAGGTGGAAGAGGCCATGGGCAGCGGGAGGAAGGACACGTGGGCTGTGGAGCCAGGGGATGGGCAGCCGCAGACTGGCTAAGGGGAAGGGGGTCCTGGGGAAAGCCGAGAGCTGTAGGCACCATGCTGGTGATGGCATGACCGAGTAGAGCAGTGGAAAAAAACAGTTACCAGGAGAGTTGGAGGAGAGAAGCAGATTTCAGAGGGTCAGCACAGCAGAGTAGGAGGCACCCATTCTAACACCCGTGCTGGGAGCACCAGGAAAAGCACTAAGACATGACCGCCTCATTACACAGCTCCTTCCCACTGCCACCTCCTCCAGGCTGAGCATTATGATTCAGCCTTCTTTTTCATAAGAAAAAAACTCCTCCAGGACAGTGGAGACAACCGGGACCCTACAGACAGGACATGTCTTCACATGGATGCCAAATCCAGGCATGCATTAGAGGAGCCTCTACCTTCACACCGTGGAGGTTCCCCGCTCCAGTCCCCCGTGGCCGTGCACTCGCGCCTCGTCGTCCCTGTGAGCACAAAGCCGGGCTGGCAGGAGAAGGTGCACGTGGAGCCAAAGGAGAAGTTTCCATGGAGGTGGGAACAGGCTGTGTCGCCCATTGCAGGGGCGACCAATGTGGGGCATCTGATGGCTGCAAGGACAGAGAGGCACATGTGAAGTAGGAGCACCGTGTCTGCAAGGTTGAACAGTGGGATCTGGAGGATTTAGAGATCCAGCAGCACCCCAGTGTCACCACAGAGCTATGATAGACTGAGGCCCAGCATCAGCCTCTACCTTCACATCTCGGGGGTTCCCCGCTCCAGTCCCCCGTGGCCGTACACTTGCGGCTCATCGTCCCTGTGAGCACAAAGCCGGTCTGGCAGGAGAAGGTGCACGTGGAGCCGAAGGAGAAGTTGCCGTAGAGGTGGGAACAGGATGCGTCGCCCATGGCAGGGGCAGCCACACTGGGACATCTGACGGCTGCAAGGACAGAGAGGCATATGTGAAATCAGTTCATGGGAAACAGGGTCAGACTGCTGGGACTGGAGCACTTAGGCAGTCCAGTAACTTCCCAGTGTCACAACAGGGCTATGACAAATTGAGGCCCAGCATCAGCCTCTACCTTCACATCTCGGGGGTTCCCCGCTCCAGTCCCCCATGGCCGTGCACTCGCGCCTCGTCGTCCCTGTGAGCACAAAGCCGGTCTGGCAGGAGAAGGTGCACGTGGAGCCGAAGGAGAAGTTGCCGTGGAGGTGGGAACAGGCTGCGTCACCCATGGAGGGAGCGACCAGTGTTGGGCATTTGATGGCTGCAAGGGCAAAGAGGAACACATGAAGTAGGAGCTGGAAATGGGGACTTAGGGAGTCCAGGAGCACCCCAGTGTCACCACAGGCCAGTGACCTGCTGGGATCCAGCATCAGCCTCTACCTTCACACCATGGAGGTTCCCCGCTCCAGTCCCCCATGGCCGTGCACTCGCGCCTCGTCGTCCCCACAAGCTCAAAGCCGGTCTGGCAGGAGAAGGTGCACGTGGAGCCGAAGGAGAAGTTGCCGTGGAGGTGGGAACAGGCTGCGTCACCCATGGAGGGAGCGACCAGTGTTGGGCATTTGATGGCTGCAAGGGCAAAGAGGAACACATGAAGTAGGAGCTGGAAATGGGGACTTAGGGAGTCCAGGAGCACCCCAGTGTCACCACAGGCCAGTGACCTGCTGGGATCCAGCATCAGCCTCTACCTTCACACCATGGAGGTTCCCCGCTCCAGTCCCCCATGGCCGTGCACTCGCGCCTCGTCGTCCCCACAAGCTCAAAGCCGGTCTGGCAGGAGAAGGTGCACGTGGAGCCGAAGGAGAAGTTTCCATGGAGGTGGGAGCAGCTGAGCTCTCCCCAGTCGGGAGCACTGAGCACCGGGCACTTGGCAGCTGAAACAAGAGAAGAGGTTTCAGGACTTGGACGCTGGGCACAAGGACACCAGCAATGTGTCCTTGTCACCACCTGCATCTGCTGGGTCAGGGTGACAGGCCCAGGCCCAGACCATGCGCTGACGGGGCAGCTGTCCTGTGATCTTGAGAGCCAGGCAGGTTTAGGCAGATCCAATCCCCTTCGCTCAGGGCAGTTTATGGGGCACATGTGGCCTGTGCCAGCCTGGCTGTGGGCAGTGAGCTGGGGCAGGGCCAGGGGAGCTGCGGGCAGTGATCTGGGGCTGGGGGTGCGACAGAAGGGCCGAGCGTGGTTTGGGGCAGGGCGAGGGGTGGCAGGCAGAGATGTGCTGGGCACTTGTGCTGCAAGGCCTGGGTAAACAGCAGGAGGCCTGGGAGACAGCGTGGGTGCTGATTGCAGAAGGGGCTTCAGGGTCACATGGCAGCCAGTAGGTCAGCAGAAGGGGCTGCTGGTCAGAGCTGCCAGTTGGTGCTGGTGCCTGGGCAAGGATCCTCATCTGGACCTCAGGAAGAGGCAGTGGGACCCATTACCCCAACAAGGGAGAAGTACCAGCAAGTAGAGCTGGGTGCGAGTGGCACCAGAAGAGCATGTGTTGAAGCAGGGGCAGAAGGACTTTTCTTGGTGGCCATAAGGAACAGACGAGGGATGGGAGGGCATGAAGAGCTGGACAAGGCATTCTCATGGGACAAGCCAGGCAAGGAGCTATCATCTGCTGGCAGAGGCTTGTGCCTTCTGCTTGGACAGGGAAAGGCCCCTCTCCACTTCAATCAGGAAGCCTAAGCTTCACCAATAGCAGGTTTCCATCACATCTTACTTGATCTCCCAGCACCTGCAGTGCCACAGGCACTGCCACAGGCTACCTATCTCAGCCTCAGTTCTACAGAGACATGGATCCAGATTAAAGCTGAGCTTGAAAGCTGAGCACCAGACCAAGCACAAGCCACAGATGGGGGTCAGGTCCTATTATAGAGAATGAAGCAGCTACACACATGCCGCAACTCAGAGGGCCAGAGCTTCCTTCTCTAGAGCTTCCTTCGTGCAGCAAGGCACCAGCAGGACTGGTGGCTTGCACTGGGGACACACATACACAATCCAGAAGCAGCCCTGCCCAAGCTGCTAGTGCTAGCAGCTTCCACCTGAGTTTACACATGCCTGTGCAGAGGCAAGTCACAGCCCCCTCTGTGCTTGCTCCAGAAGGCTCCCCCTTCTCCTCACTGTCCTCCACGACCACAACAATCTCCCCCGGAGGAAGCTGAGCTTTCCTGTGGCACACCTGGCAGCTCCAGCAGCACAGCAAACCATGTGTGCAGCCTGTTTGGTACCAGTTTTGCTGTGCCCTGTGAGCGGTTCCTCAGCAGGGTGCATGGCATGTGGTGACTGTGTGTGCCTGCCTCTGCCAGCAACTCTGGCACCATAAGGTGCCTCCAAGATCCTGGCTATCACTGTGGCCATTCCCTCCATCACATGCCTTGATGCTGGAGTCACTGCACAGCACTGGTAGTGAGGAATGGGTCTGTAAAGATTCCCCAGTGTGCCAGCAAAAACACTGACAGCAGTTTTAACAGCAGTTACCAGTTGAAGTTGTTTGGTTGCCATCAGGTTATAAGAAAAGAGCCTCTACCTTCACATCTCGGGGGTTCCCCGCTCCAGTCCCCCGTGGCCGTGCACTCACGGTGCGCCGTTCCCATCAACACAAAACCAGTCTGGCAGGAGAAGGTGCACGTGGAGTCGAAGGAGAAGTTGCCGTGGAGGTGGGAACAGTCTGCGTCACCCATGGAGGGAGCGGCCAGTATTGGGCATTTGATGGCTGCAAGGGCAAAGAGGAACACATGAAGTAGGAGCTGGAAATGGGGACTTAGGGAGTCCAGGAGCACCCCAGTGTCACCACAGGCCAGTGACCTGCTGGGATCCAGCATCAGCCTCTACCTTCACACTGTGGAGGTTCCCCGCTCCAGTCCCCCGTGGCCGTGCACTCGTGCCTCGTCGTCCCCACAAGCTCAAAGCCGGTCTGGCC